AGATCAAGATCTTCAGATGATGTGGTGCTGCAGGTTTTTCCGGGTTTTCCTGCAGCTGAAAAAGCAAATGCGCCACTGGAATCAATTAAGTCGCCCCGGAGCGCCAATTAATTTTTATTGTTGTTTTTATTTTATTTTTATCGTTGTTTTAATAAAATTTTCATTACAAATTGACAAAAAGAATACATTTAATTGTTACAAAAGTACTGAAATTTGCCCACAAAGCCAGCTCTGGAGTAATTATCTACTCAATGCTGAATCTGATAGCAACTGCTTTATTGATGTCATATAAACCGATTCAGTTCTCTTATTGATGAATTTTGCAATTTTTAGCAAACATCAGAGCACAATTCAAGACAAAAAGCGAATTCCACATGAAAAAAGGGAAGGAGCACCTCAAAGTACACAACGTGACCACCTCAGTGGAGATCGGCCACAGCAACATCTACTTCGACAGAATCTTCGGGGATAACGAGGCTCTCAACACACAAGTCAACAAGCTTTTCAACGACAATGATGGAGCTCTCATATCGGAGTTGAAAACCTTAATGAATGCCCTTCTCAAAGAGCTCGATTTAGGAATCATCGATAGACTGTACGAGAAATATTCATTCGACGATTTATTTCCCAATCCATGATGGGGTATTGTTTGTTGAAAATCGCGAAGGTGGTGGGTGCACTCTTGGCCTTTATCGGTTTGATTTTAACTGCATATTAAACCATAATGGAAAACGAAAATGAGAACAGTTTTGATGAAGATGATGATATGAGAACAGTCCCTTGTGGAATAATGAGTTCATTGTTCTTGAAAAATTAGTTTTTGAAGACCACAGATCACTGCTACTTCTTATAGGATAGTTGTGTATTTAATGATTGCAACTGATAAGTTCATTAAAATATGGTACTGTTTGCCCAATAAGTATTTCAACAATTAAAATCATTGAAAACTACAATAATCTGTTCTTTACCATCAACCAATTTAAAGCCTAAACCATTGTTTGAACTATAGTGTATTTGCTGGACTTTAATCATATTCGCATGCTTCTGTTTTGAAGTTTTTGAAGCACCGATTATACTATTACCATCAAGCAAAGAAAGTAAAGTCGCACGATAATCAAACCGCGGTTGTATTATGAATCGTTATACTGTTAATTTAGATGACGACTGATCTGTGCGAAGGAAAACATTTTTGTAGAAATTTTGTTAGATATATAGTGGAAGTGCTTTTTCAAGTTCAAAGTGTTGTTGAGTACTATGCCAAAATACACACATCGGAAAAGTCTAGGGATATTTTTTAAAATGGCAATAATNACCTATCATCATCAGTGTTCATTGGTATTTTTGAAATACTAAATAACTACATAATTCTCAGTAGAAATTGAAACATCTCGTACATTGTGTGTGCATTTCATACCACTGGTTACAAATAATGAAGACATCAGTTTTCCAAACGAAGCTTATAAAATTTCCTCCATGACTCAAAACTGCTTATTCTTGCACTCGTTCTGCATACAAAACATTTCATAAAACTTTATAGAATCGCGTCTGAAAGAAAGACGCATCTGTTCTCTGCTCATCTGAAACTGCTCTCCAAACAGTTGTTCGGTCTGAACGAATTCAATGCAATGATTGTTTTGCGAAATTTAGTTCCTGACATTTTATCCTAGAAGATGAGCCCCGATGTGGTCTACCTACGGTCACCCAGGACGAAGATTTGAGGACCCCGCGGTGGAGACTGACCCAACACAAACGGTGCTTGGGATGGCAGAAGAACTGGGCGTCAGCTCCCATGCGGTTTTTGATGGTTTAAAACGTATTGCAAAGGCCAACACGCTCTGAAAGTGGACGCCCCACGATCAGAAAGATCGACAAAATTGTCACATTTCGAAGTATGTTCTTATTTGCTTTTGTGCAACCAAAACGATCTTTTTTTGATCGGATCGTCACGTATCATGAAAAGTGGATTCTCTTCGACATCAGGAGACTTTTAGGACCGTGCTTTGACACCAATGAGCTTCGCAGATACTTCCGAAAGGAAAACCCACCGAAAAAAGACTGTGATTACTGTATGGTGTTGAGTGGCTGATGTGATTCACTATAATATTCTGCAACCGGGACAAACCATTATAGCAGAGTACTATTTTGAGGAAATGGACGAGAGATCCGATCCTACTCCGCATGTTTCACAAATTACCGACCGAAAATTGAACGAAGTGAGCATCAAAGTTCTGCCTCACCCATCATAGTCCCCAGACCTCTCGCCAATCGACTACCGTCTTTTCTAGTGTTTGGGTAAACTTCTCATTTTCGGTAAAATAAGATTTTATTTGACTTTTTGCTTTTTATTCAATAAATAAAACTGACGATTACATTGGTAACTATATAAAACAAACAATTTCAGCTTCAATACTAGATGTTAAATTTATTCACAACATCCTCCGGGGCTCGCAAATTACTCCTTTAGCTTCAACAAAATGATTTTTGTGATGCGACGACGATAAACTCCTGTTGCTGTAGTCACTTCAACTACCCGTACTCTGCCATCGGGACCAGGAAAAATTCGAAAATTTTCTTTTGGCCATTAGTTTCTGGGAAAACTATCACCCAAAATAATGACGATGTCTCCTTCTGCCACATCACTGCTATTGAACTGCCACTTGCTTCTCTTTATCAGCGAGGGTACATATTCCCGTATCCACCGTTTCCAGAAAACGACCGCATATCTTTGTGTCACTCGCCATTGTTTTCTAAGATGTGAATTGGTATCAGCAGAAATACCCAGTGGATTCACTTTATTGGACTTTCCAATAAGGAAGTGGTTGGGTGTCAAAGCTTCCGCATCTTGATGATCAGAAGACACATAAGTTAAGGGATGCTGTTCACTGCACACCCAATTTCAACTATAAGAGTGTGTAAAATCTTTTCTTTTGGGCTCTGTTGGGTGAGGCACTTTCAACAGATTTAATCATTCTTTCCCATATTCCTTCCACATGACTTGCTGCTGGTGGATTCTTGAACCATTTTATATGACGAGTGCAGCAAAACTGTTGAATTCGGTTTAAATCTAGTTCTTTGATGGCTAGTTTCATTTCTTTTTCCGCTCCGTAGAGGTTTGATCCATTATCAGAGTGTATTTCTGATGGATTACCTCTTCTACAAATAAATCTATGAATTGACATGATGGCAGAATCCGTAGTAAGGGAAGAAGCCAGTTCTAGATGAATTGCCCTCGTTGACATACAGGTGAAGATAACCGTATCTTTTTTCCTTCCTTCTATCAATTGTGACTGTCATGGGGCCAAAATAATCCATACCTGTAATCAAGAATGGTCTGCATTGTTGTACTATCCTAAAGTCTGGAATTAGTCCCATCTGCTGAGTTTCAACCCTGGCGTTTTTCTTTTTACATATAATGCAGGATGATATACAAGCTTTTACTGCTCATCTCACGTTGATTATCCAAAATCTTTTCCTTAAATGGTTTATGATTTGTTATTTTCCCTGATGATGATTCAGTTTATGATAATGCCTCGTATTAATATGTAGGTGTTGTCCTTCATCCAATCGTCCACTTAGTCTCAAAATATTGTCTTGGCCGATAAATACATTCAAATTTCGAAGACGACTTTGTTTTCGATAACACTGCAGCCATGTCAATATAACCTTTGCCCCGAAAATAAGATAAATAAAAAACCATACATTTACTTCATTAGTTTTCCATTACAGAAATATTTCTCTCAGCGTATCTTTTGTTTCGAATGAAGTTTCAAATGTCTAGTATGATATTTGAGATTCGATTAAACGTTTCAGAGAACCACAAAATAGATTACCAAAGTTTTTAATGGTGTTAGTGTTTGTGGATTTTGATGTTGCCATTAATTTTCTATTGCAAGACTTGTTACTGGCAAATAAGGATAGTGTTCGACTGAAGTAGTTTGCAGCCCGTTATCGACTTGTACTGGAAGTTTGTCCCGTCGATCATTCTAGAAATTCTCCACTTCATTTTATGTTTCAAATTTTGTAAGGAGGACATTCCCAAAGCTCGAAAAACAAACGTGAAATTTATTAGAGGATTGTTAAAATGCTCTAGAAAATAATGAAAAAAATCAGCTAGCTGTAAGTCAAGGGAAAAGTCGTCAGCTGATAAGATTCAGTAGGTGACAGATGTTGAGGAACCAGCTGATAAACTTTCCACTGAGATACAGCAAGGTAAAGTTGAGAGGAAAACATTGAAAATATAATTTTTTTTTCATGTTCAAACAGTTTCATGTTCATGTGCAGCTGAATTTATTTCTCCTTCAAGATATTGGGTGAACTATAATCCGACAAATTTCAAAATGGGGGGAAATGAATGAAAAAACTTTTTTCTTCTTCATACTTGGGACGCTGCCATTTCCCGCCCCACCCACTTCTTTTTATGTTTCAAATTTTGTAAGGAGGACATTCCCAAAGCTCGAAAAACAAACTTCCTCTACAAAAAAATTACTTTTTGGTACTCCGAAGTGTTTTTTAAACACAGTAGTGCCTCCGTATTTTTGACTACACGAATAACTCGCTTTGTCAGTTTTGCACGTGCAATTCTCTCTTTCAAACCGTTCGGATCGAAACGAAGACATTTCAAGAATCATTTGAATCGCCATCAACGTACGTGTGTGTACCAGCAGTCCGTTTGTTGTGTTCTCTCGTCACTTTAATTATTACCATAATGCCGAGAAAGTTTTCTACCGGCGGCGACATTTGGAAAAGAAAAAACTCGATCTTCGGTATTATACTTTTGGTCGATATCTGCCATAAACAAAAGAGAAATGCGTGCGCGGAGTTTTGCAAAACTTTTGTGGGTGTATTTGTATGCACATGAAATTGCAGGTGAGTCTTTAATTTGTTTTATGTACTAATATTCAACATTTATGTACTAATATTCATTCTTTTAATATGTGAACCCTCTTTCTTCGAAACTAATAGCAGAAATTCTCTACTGCACGTACGTATACATTATGAGCGAGGGAACATTTTGTTAAAATCGACAATGAACTTTTCCTAATACATGAATTGATGGATGTAGCCGTTGCTACACGGTAGGCCCTTAACAGAGTTTATGAATCTTGTTTACCTGTGACAATGTGGTTACATCCGCAATTCTTATGTTTATGAATTTCCAAGGATTCCAAATCCGAACACTTAGCTCATAAACTCCAAATTTCTCCATCTTGTCTACATTATCTTTGGCATTAAAGAGGAAATTAATTAGGTAACCTGACATGTGGCCGAATGCTATTACCACATTGTTTTTTCTGAAATATCCTGTTCTTTTACCAAAATATGTTAAAGTTACAAATTTCTTGATTTCTAATTGTTTGATCTGAGGGTATATTGATCAAAAAATCAGAAATTGAAAAATTTGTAACTTTAACATATTTTGGTAAAGGAACACAGAGACACTTGTCTAATTTATCATGCCAAAGATAAAGTGGACAAGATTGAGACTACTGGAGTTTGTAAGCTCAAGTGTCCGAAGTGTGATAGTGTTTATGTTGGACAATGTGGCCGAAATTTCTCAAAAAGATATGCTGAATATGAACGATCCATCAGACTAGGTAAAAATAATTCGACGTTTTCACACCATTCCTTGGAATGCAACCACAAGTTCCCGAATCTTAACAATACGGAAATTTTTCACTATGCAGGCAAGGGTTGGAAACATAATCATTTGGAATCCTTAAAAAATTCATAAACATAAGCATTGCGAATGTAACCTACTGAATGACCAAATTGACGTGGTCTACTCGCCGGTTTTCAGATTGGCGTACCCACATTGTCACAGGTAAACAAAATTCAGGTAATAAAGTCATTATTACCTACTGTAGTAGTATAGGTATATAAGAATGCACATTATTAATTATTTTAGTTTATTGTATCCTTTTGAAAATGTCCTTGTAGGACGAAACTGCAGTAACGTTAGTTACAAATACAAATGGTAAAAAAAATTTCATTTTCGGAATACCACAAACTCTTTAACAGTATTTCAATTTCAACTCGATTAAAAATGATAAAAATCACCTGAAAAAACCTGATGAGTTTTTATGAAACTATTATATCAATCACAAGTTAGTAGACTAATGTATACATTTTTTGGCTTGTCAAATAAATAATTTTTTTCCCTGGTGCTAACTCCTTGATTTGAAGCAAAAACATTTCCAAGAATACATTTTTAATTTACTTTCTTTACCAATCTGCTATTATTTTGTTGATTATTTCATTTCTCAAACTAATGAAAATATTTCTACAAACTACAGAAACCAATCAGTTCAAAAAATCAAAGCTTTCTTCACTTTCTCATTTTTAAAACCATGTAAGATCAGTCGTTTTCACTTATTTGGAATTAAAATCAGCCACACATTGATCTGCAATAAATACCGAATGAAATATGTCGTTTAGTATGCGGCGTGAAGAAAATTTATCATGACTTTCTCCTCAACGAACATAGTAAAATGGATAGTAAGAGCTATACAGGGTGAACAATAAGGCTGCACAGCGATGATTCGAAAACGAAAAATGACAACGAATTGATGCTTTTCAGGTTTACAAACGAATAAAGTAAAATGTCTCGAAAACGGTCGTTTCTACAGAGATCCGGAACGACCAGCGCATAAAATGTGGACCATGGATGAATGTTCTAGATACTTTCTTTGTTTAGAGGGAGAAGTTTTCGATTTTCGATGTTCCGTTGACTTGCTCTTCGACGTGGACAGGCAAATATGTGATTTCAAAGTCAATGTAGACAACTGTGACATTACAGCAGGTAAAATTAACTCAATTATAATCGAGAATGAGACTGAAATGTATTTCAATGAACTGAGCTATTAGGTTATGTGCCAAGTATAAATATTCAACAGCGCGTACACATTACTTCGGACGACTAATAGATACTTTTTGTAGAAACCACATTTCTTAAGCCAATGCTCGACAAAGCAAAATGTTCAGACCAGTACCACTTGGGATGCGCCGATGGTACTTGTCTACCACAAGAGTACTTCTGCGATGGATCCCTCGATTGTCCGGATGGAAGCGATGAAGGGCTTTGTGACCTCAAACATGACCCTAATGGGGCTTCGCCCTGTGACCCAAGAACTTGTCTGCTCCCCAGTTGCTACTGCTCGGAAAACGGTAAGGAAGCGAAAGCAGAGATTGACGATGTTTCTAAAGAGTTATTCCTTATTTTACAGGAACCCAAGTGCCAGGAAATCTACCTCCGTCGATGATCCCGCAAATGGTTCTTCTCACGTTCGACGACGCAGTGAACGATGATAACTGGGACCTCTACGCCAAGGAGCTCTTTCCGAATTTCCGCAAGAACCCCAACAAGTGTCCCGTTAGAGCGACCTTCTTCGTGAGTCACCAGTACAACAATTACCAGTGCACGCAGCAACTCTGGAATGACGGCCATGAGATAGCTGTTCATTCAATTACGTAAGAAAATTTTGAATAGTTCAGATGGATAGGTAGACAGCATAATTGAAGAATATAAACTTTCACGGCCGGAGATTACTGTGTGGAAGCTATTTTCCGATTTTTTGGCCGTGGTCTGCAGGTTTTTATGCATGACGTTTCTTCTACTACTGCGGTAGTCATAATCAAAGGAGTGCTCGGATTGTTGTTCCCATTCCGAACGAACCAATATTTTCTCCATGATTAAACTTCATATTCGTTTTCAAAACATTCAAATCAGGCACACCGACGAATTACTTGAGAAACGTGAAATTCATAAGAGGATTGTTAAAATGCTCTAGAAAATAATGAAAAAAATCAGCTAGCTGTAAGTCAAGGAAAAAGTCGTCAGCTGATAAGATTCAGTAGGTGACAGATGTTGCCGCGTCACACCTTTTGAGGAACCAGCTGATAAACTTCCCACTGAGATACAGCAAAGTGGAGTTGAGAGGAAAACATTGAAAATATAATTTGTTTTTCATGTTCAAACGGTTTCATGTTCATGTGCAACTGAATTTATTTCTCCTTCAAGATATTGGGTGAACTATAATCCGACAAATTTCAAAACGGGGGGAAATTAATGAAAAAACTTTTTTCTTCTTCATACTTGGGACGCTTCCATTTCCCGCCCCACCCACGGAGTCGCAGCTGACGGTTGCGAGTATTCATAATATAAATCACTAATGCATATCACGAATTTTTGATTGGGAGGGACTTGATCATGGAAATCTGTCACTCGCCCCTAGTCTATCATCCGAATGATCATAAAATATTTTGTATGCCACCCGTATGCGGTACAAAAATAGGATGTACCCAGTGAAGTATTATAAACCAGCCTATAGAAACTGTGGCAACTCATAATGAAATCACAAAATTTTGTTTGGGCACTCTTTTCCTTTTTATTACACGCTTTATATTAGCTTCGCCTGTATGTATGTATGTTTCTTTGTAACTTTCAAGCTCGGGATCTGTATATTGACAGAATTATCGGCATTATTGCTTGATCTATTCGCGGGCAGATGGCGCTGTATGTAACCTCCTTGATATTTATTGATATATTCGCGGGCAGATGGCACTGTACATAACCTCCTTGATTTCTTGATCTATTCGCGGGCAGATGGCGCTCTACGTAATTATCAATTATTACTTGATCTATTCGCGGGCAGATGGCGCTGTACGTAACTTTCTTGATAGGTTGTTCAAAAGAAAATCAAAATATCGTATCCCGAGGTGTGGGAGCTGCCTCTGAACCCGATGGAAGTGAAGGGTTACACTTGTTCCATGGTGGATGCGTGTCCTTCCAATTTATCAGCCATCGAAGTCTACGAAATGCTCACTCACAACTTCAAAAGACACTATCTCAGCAACAGGGCTCCCTTCGGACTTCACTTTCACTCCTCTTGGTTCAAGAATCCTGAATATCTTGCAGCATTTCAGGTATGATTAACTACATATTTTTGTTCCATGTATGCTAAGGTGAATCCTCAATATACTTCAGATTTAATTAGTGGCAGAAAAAGTATGTTCATAATGAATTTATAATTTGAAGAAAGTGATACCAAAAGACCTCAAAATTTTATCAATAAATTTCCATTTTTTAACGAAAACTGTGTTATTTGGCAAAACATCGAGAGCGACTAGCATGATAAAGTGATCATGCTGGATTCAACTAACCATTGTTAGTTGCTCGATTGGTATTACTATAACTAAAAGTTTGAGTTTGAAAAAATTGACTTTCATCTGTCGACTCAAGGCTGCGATATGGTATTTGTATGGGGAAATTCTACTTCCACTCCGGAAATATTAAAATCGCAAAAAACAGTACTGAGATGTATTATTAGTCTCCTAAAAAGGACATCTTGCCGCGAATATTTTAAAAAATATAAAATTTTAAATGATGTGTCGTTGTATGTTTATGAAATATGCCTGTATGTTTTTAAAAACAGAAATAAATTCATTCGTGTTAGTGAATATCACTCTTTTAATACAAGACAAACTAAAAACTAAGTCATACCATTTGCAATAACTAAATTAACGTCTTGTGCGCCAAGCTGTTTAGGTTTGAGATTATTTAATGCTCTTCCAATACACGTTAGTGACTGTAATAATACGAATATTTTTTTAAAAAATTTGACGGACTTCCTGGTAGATAAAGATCTGTATTCACTTAGTGAATACTTTTAGGTTTACATTTCTATTGTAATAAAGGACGACTCCTACACCGATTATTGTCAATCTCTTGGGCAAATAAATGTATTTTATTTTATTTTATAACATTTTTAGGTCTAGTGAATGCATCAATAAAAGAACAAAATATGGATTCGCAAATGAAGTCAATGTTATTACCTTGATAACGATAAATTCCAACAAGAACATTTGTTTGTCATATATAAATTGTTAGTATTCAAGGAGTTTGAATTGAAAAATTGTGGTCATATTTCCGTGGGGTTATTTGAAACAGCGAAGTGTAGCAATTCGTATTTCATTTCGGTCTCTTGTATCTGTAGAGTCTCAGTAGAGTTACGGTCTAGTCACTGTCATACATATAATATCAGATCAAACCTTTGAATTTCTATATGCAAAGTTTCAATATGTAGTCACAATCATATTTGAATATTTAGGCTTGTTCTTGTTCTCTGCTCGGACTGTTCCTAACAATCAGCAAACAGTCACCCAACTGTATACTGAACATTTTGTCGCGTTAACCTTTTCAGTCCACAATTGACTCACTGATTTTAGACGATTCGAAACAGTACAAACTGAAAACCAGAACAAACCTTTTGATTCCATTGGTTCTATTTCACCAGGATAGTGACAGTGAAATTGTGAGAATTGTGAAAATAATGCATCGCTAAGTCTGAGAGTCAAGTATATGATTCAAGAATAATGACACCGATATTCTCTATTTTGGTGGCATAACCTTCAATTCGAAGGAAATAACCAAAATTATTCTTTTCCTAACAATCAAAAATACATATGAAATATTTCCAAAACAAATCGTTTTGTAAACTCCTTCAACGTTCTTTTTTATAGAAATTCTTGACGGAAACCCTGAGACACCCAGACGTATGGTTTGTGACCAATAACCAAGCCATCGAGTGGATGAAACGGCCGACAAGTCTGAACCAGTTGCATACTTTCGAGCCGTGGAATTGTAAAAAACATTTCGAGAAGGCGGAAATAGCTTGCAACTCGCCCAATATCTGCCAGCTCCACAGCAGAGTATTTCAACAGAACAGATATCTCAGAACCTGCTCCGATTGCCCTCAGAAGTATCCATGGATCAGGAATGAGTTTGGTTTCGACTGAAGAAAAACCAAATATTGATCATCAGAAAAATCATTCCGTTAGGTTGTAGTTATTTATTTGCCTTGTTAGTACTAAATAAAACAACTGATTATGTAATACTTCAAAACAGTGTCACCCCTTCAATACATGAATTATGATTTCCTCTGAGCTGCAATAACTAGGAATCACACGTTAAAAGGTAAGACCTCGTTAGTCCTTAGCTCCCACAAGTGTTGTCGTTCGTAGGGGGGAAGACAGTTGGTTGACGGAAAATAAAATTTAAAAAGAAACATATTTCTCTACACTCTACACTCAATTTTTTGAAAAGTACAGCGTTCTATAACTTCAAAGTTCAACCCTTTTGATATAAATCAAACAAATTTTCAGATAATTAGACTCCAAAAATGTTATATAGAATGCAATTTTTTTCATTTAGATGAACTTTATCGTGAAATAAAAATATATAACGAGGCAAAAAATTCTGTTCATATGTAATCATCAAGATAGTTGATAATTCTTAGAATTCGTACCATAAACAATGACGAACGAAAATTATTGCTATAGAGTGGATTGATAAGGATTTAATAAACAGAGAACAGAACTATATTATAGACTTAGATATCAGTGAATAACATATCTTTCACAATGTAATTGATAATTTTCAGAATTTTCAACAAAAAAATATCTTGTGAATGTATTGACGAACATATAACAGTTGAGCTGGAAAGTTCATAAGTTTAAATTTGAAAAAAAAGTTTTTGATAAAATTTAATTTCATTTTCAAGGGCGACACAACGATTATGGCGGTCATATAATTTTTAGATATCATTTTTATACTAAGATTTGTCATTATCTTCAAAATAGGTCTTGGTTTCGACGATTACTTCATCTGAGAACAGAAATAAGTCACCAGGTGTCAGATCTGGAGAAAACGGTGGATGTGGAAGCAATTCGAAGTCCGAAACAATTGACGATCGTTTTAATTCCGGTGTGAAATTATGATGCCATATTTTATTTATTGCCACATATTTACACATAAGTTCGGATTTTTTTATGGTGGAACAGCGTGAAACATTGCTCAGAATCTCCAACACGTTCCTTTGAAATCTTTAGAGCCTCAGCTATCAATTTCGCTTTGCGGTCACCCAAAATTATTTTGTGGACTTTTTTGATGTGTTCAATGGTAATAACCTCTTTGGGGCATCCACTGTGTGCATCATCCTCGGTGCTCATTTCACCTCGTTCAAACTTAGCAAACCATTTCTCAACGGTTGTTTTTCCTGGTGCAAAAATAGTTTTTCGAACCAAGGTTTGGCTTCAACAGTATTTTTGTTCGCCAAAAAGCAATGCTTTATTAACACACAGCTGTGATATTTGTACACGTGTCTTTTAAAGGTTAGGATAAACTAATAATAGACTTAATACTGGTAGCGCCATCTGTATGTTAGTCTACGAACTTTTCACCCATGTAATAGTTATGAACAGATTCTATTCGATCTCTTAAGGAGAATATCACTCTATATTTATTGAATTCATCACCTTGTAAAATTTCGGGATATTCCGGCATTCGTCACCTTCGCTATTCAGGTTTGTTGCCTTTCCGTTTGCATTTCATAAACTTCCTTCGCAAAAAAACAAGAGCCGAAGAGCCGCAACTAAATGCGTCGAATTATACGATTTTCTAGATTGCCCTTCGAAGTATATGATGCAAAGAAACCAAAAAAATAAATATAAATGATAGATGGAGAAAGAAGATTCAGAAACTATTTTGTAGCAGAAACATCACATTCATCTGGTCTTACTGAAAAAGAAGAATAAAACTGAAATCTGTAGATTTTTATTACTTGATTAATAGGGGAGTAGATTTAATCTTTTTTATTGGTCTATTTGTTTCCAGATTCACTCTAGAATTGATCGTAAATGCTGTTGGTCTCTAGTGGTTATTTGTTTATCAATGTTCATAATGAATGATGAAGAAAAACTGAATTCATGGTTATTGAAGATGAACGAGACTCCACAAATAGGACTTTTACAAAGCCAAAGCCTTCGACATCGATAGTCTAACGAGATTTGTCATATGTGGTGTTCGCTGAAAAAATGAGTTTTGACTAAACAATGGTTTCGGACACTTGAAAGAATGTTCTGTCACGTGAAAATCGTCAAATTTGCAAAAAAATACACCTTTAATTGGTAATCGTATGTTCAGAACCATTGGCTGAAAAAAGGTACATCTCAAAAATGATTTCAAAAATTATAATTTACAACAGGAAATATTTTATTCGATAGTTTCACCTACTTTACATTGAAAAGCGACTTCGGAGTGTCCGATTTCAAAATCATTATGGTGCATATCATCATAACTTAGTAAACAATTTCAACAAAAATGTTTCAAAGGGTTTTCTTCAACGGCAAAAACTCTGAAGAATTATTGATGATAAATAAGCTCTCCTTAAAAATAACAAAATTTCAAAAAATATGACAAATTATTTCAACACAATGAGTTTTCCTTGAGAGTAACAAAATTGTAAACAAATTACAATTAAATCTTTGCTATTTTATGATGTTTTTTCTGAGTTAGAGTTTTTTTTTTCTCTTTCGCTCCGGTAGTTGTGTATCATTCAAACTCTGCTCGAACTCGGCATACTCCGTTGTGAAGATTCATCTTCATTACATTCAGCATGGTATATCCCATTAACCACTTCGAACTCTTTATCGAAAACATCTTGATTCTTTTCAAAATTGTCACTCTCGTTCATTTCAATAAAATAGAATTTATGAAAATGAATAATTAACGATGAAATTCTCACGAAAATTAAGCAACTGAAAGAAAACCTTGTGGTGTTGAGCTAGAAGACCCAGAAACAAAAATGTTACTTTAGAAAAGGTCAGTTTAATCAGCTTCATTGTAGCCCAATCACAGACTCGATAACTAAAGATATCGCCACAGTATAACGAGAAAAAACATCGCAAATTGAAGGAATTACGTTACAGATACCCAGACCAATTAGAAATCAAGAAACCTTATCATATTTTGGTAAATGAACAGAGACAATCGCGGAATTTTTCAGGAAAAATTATGTGGATGTGGCATTCAGGCCACATGTCAGGTTATCTAATTTCCTTTTTAATGCCAAAGGTGAATTGGTAAAAAAGTGTTACAACTAGTTTATTCGAGTCAACCTGTGTATAAATGAAATTCAATAAATGGTATGAAGCTGATTCAATTGATTTGTTCTTCCTGAATCCATATTGGTTATTACTAAAAAGATTATTTTGATCCATGTAATTCAGAATTCTGTTACCGAATTGATTCGGCCGTTACTTAATGAAGATCCATAGTAATTTCAAACACTACACGATTTGATCAAATCGTTAGGTGTAGTTTTTGAAAGTAATTGAGTTAATCTGGGGTAATGTGGCCGAAATTTCTTAAAACGGTTTGCTGAACATGAAAGGTCCTTCAGACTAGGTAAAAATTATTCGCATTTCTTGGGATACAATCACAAGTTCCCGAATCTAAGCGACACGGAAATTCTGCACTATGCAGGCAAGGGTTGGAAACTCAATTATTTGGAGTCCTTGGAGAATCATAAACATAAACGTTGTGTATGTAACCTACTAAATGACCAAATTGACCTGTTACTCGCCGGTTCTCAGATTAGCGTTGTTACAGATAAACGAAATCCAGCTGATAAAGTCATTAAGGACCGTCTATTATTACCGACAATGGTTGTATGGGTATATGTATAAGGATGTACATTGTCATTTATTTCAGTTTATTGTATTCGTTTAAAAATGTCCTTGTAGGACGAAACTGCAGTAACGTCAGTTACAAATACAAGTGGTATAAAAACATAGCAAGCATTATTGCTTAGATAACTGGTTGGTGATTGAAAAAAATGCTGGTTTTTGAACGCTGTAGTGGACTTGCAATTGTGGGCTGAAACGACGTTCATGGAAGAATCTGAAATGTGCATTTATTAGAAAAAGTAGTTTTGGGGAAGTAGTTGTTTAACGGTAGTCATTTATCAAAACCAACTGTGTAGGTAGTTGAAAGAAATCAATGTTTCGAAATTTTATTTCAAAACATTCATTTTCTTGATGGTCTTGATATAGTCGATGAATATTATACCAATCGCATTCCGAAATATTGAAACCGTACCTTACCAGCCGACTGTTACGTATTTGCACGCTTTGGAGTCGGTTCATCACGTGCATTCCACTCAGTTGACGATGTTTCATTTATTGTCACATATTGACACATGAATTTGGGTTCTTTATGGTAAATAGCTTCATATACGGCTCAAAACACTGATTTTAAGTTCAAGNTAATTTTTGGGAAAAAAAGTTTTTGGAGTATAGTAGAAAGCCAAAAACTTTCTTTCCCAAAAACCTATCTCAGTATGCGAAAAAAAGTTGGTAGCCCCCTCTCGGTGAGTGATGCAACACTAAGATATTTGTCATTAAAAATACTTTCACGTAAATTTTGTCCAACCCTAACGTCTTGTCCAATTCAAGAGTAAAGAGAAGGAATATTTACATCCGCACTGTATAATTTGACCATTCTTACTTGAGAAAGCTACTGAATAGCGAAACACGTGCCACGGTTTTGTAAAACCTGTTATTACGAAGATTTTACAGTTGACTGTATCAAGTTTCAATACGGATCAATAAATATCAATCAGTAACTAAATACAAATATTGTGCTGATACATCCCCTGAAATTCGATACATCACTAGATAAAAACCTCTCACTCGATTCATCGTTCCAGACCAATCGCACTGGAGAAAAACGGGCGAACGAGAACTGAACGAGGCAATCAACAAAAAGATTATTGAAAGCGTAGCCAAAAATGTCATCTTGTTTGTGGCTGATGGAATGGGAATCACAACTTCTACGAGTGCTAGAATTTATGGCAGAGGAGAAAGCGGCCATTTGGCTTGGGAAAAATTCAATAACATCGGAGTGCTCAAGGTAACCAATCAAAGTGAATATACAGAACGATTCCGGGCAAGAAAAGGAAAACATGAGTTTTTGGATACTCGATAAATTCTCTGAAACTCGAGAAATAGTTAGTTTTTGAAGAGAGCAAAACTTAGAAATGAACTGGATTTGAACTATATCAGCTCAAAGTTAGAGCTTTGAATAATCTGAGCTCAGAATCGTAATCCGTAGTCTCAAAGATCCCCCAGATACAAGTTCAAACTGTTTCTCAGAAATATTCATACCTTGTCCCATTTTCGGAGACCTTTGACCCATTTTGGAAGGCTCATGAGCTACTATCGGTCACGATAATTTCACCTCAGATTCGTATCAAGCAACCTCAGTAGATTTTCAATCGTAAAAAAATTATATATTTACGGAATTATATGGAACTGAATATAGGTTGGTCGTACAGATTTACGCGTGAAAGCTCTAATTTTGAGGTGCTGCAGCTCAAAACCGACTATTTCTTTAGCTTCGCACTAACAAAGTTTTTGTTGTACTAATCAAAAACTAACTTTTTTCCGAGTTTCAGAAAATTTAACCGGTATCTGAAAACTCATATGCGTGGTCTTTTCTTTGGGCTAACTCTTGCAATAGTCACATTTTAATAAAAATATAACCTTTAAGTTCTGTACGTACTTTTAGATTTTATGGGTCTGACAATGTTGAAATGAACAAATTATTATTGATTGGGAAATCCATGGCAAATATTAAAACACGATATATAATTTCATCTGATGCGTTTATCTTGACGGGCTAGGAACTGGCTTCACCAAATTGTGTAAAGGAAAACATATGAGCTGGGCAGAAAAGTTCGTAGACTAACATAGAATTTTTTTTTATGAAATGTATTTTATTATTCAATATACGAGGGCGATACTAGGATCATAGTGGTCGATATAATTTTTATAGTATGATTTGTCTTCAGCTTCGAAATAGGTATCGGTTTCAACGATTATCTCATCAATTCGTTGTTGTTTTTAAACGATTGTGAACTTTGGTTTTGCACCCACTTTGAACAGAGCTTTAGCATACAGAAACAGTAATGCACCATATGTCCAACACGTTCTTTTCATATCTTTAGAGGCTTAGCTATCTCGATCAACTTCACTTTGCGGTCATCTAAAGATATTTTGTGGACTTTATTGATGCTTCCGTCGATAACAGCTTCTTTGGGACGTGCATCGTCCTTGCTTCTCATTTCAGCTCGTTTAAACTCAACAAACCACTTCTTAATGGTTGATTTTATTGGTGCAAAGTGCGAATAATGTTTATCAAGCCAAGCATTGGCATTAACGGTATTTTTTTTTCGTTAAAAACAATGCTTCAGTAACACACCATATATGTGCCTACGAACTTTACAGCCCATCTGGTAAATGAAATTATTGATTTTTCACAGTAACTGTAATACTATCGAAAGATTTATTAGAGGCTTTGAAATTTTGGTAGTATTTATAAAAATTATCGATTTTTCGATTGATGATGACCCATATAGGATAGAGAAAATAACTTTTGTCTAATTTCCACTAAGATTTTCATTTGTTGGGACCGGTTTCTGTTTGTTTGGAGTTGGTTGACAATTTTTCATGTGAATTTCATCAGTTCGAACTTCCATTCTCTAATAAGATATCAAATGATTTGAAATCCTGCTGAAAATAACAATTATATTGAGCAAAAAGACGATTGTGTTTCATAAACCATTCACAAGATAAGGTATTAAGAAAGATATGTTTTTGAAGACGTATTCCGCCAACAAACTGGTACCGGATTCTTGCAGTACAGCAACGGCTTTATTTTGCGGAGTGAAAGCCAATCACAAAACGTCGGGACTCGACGCTACGGTGGAAGTAAATGATTGTGAGGCATCGCTAAAACCTTCAGCCCGTCTGGATAGCATATTCAAATGGGCCCAATATGCAGGAAAATCGACAGGTAAACCATCCTTCCGTACTTGAAAGGAAATAAATCTGAATTCTCAGATGAATTTTAATAAATATAGTTTATAAAACTATAAAACAAACACACTTTTGAAGAACATCTTACTAAGAAGTTAAAAATATTTTTTTTCCAAGAATGCATCAAAATGCAAGGATATAGCAAGGCAACTGGTGGAAGATTTGCCAGGAAAAAATATACAGGTGAACAGTTTATTCAAACCGTTATTTTGACACCTCGACACGTGTTTCGATCACCAAGTGATCATCTTCAAGAGGAAGATCAAACTGATGTTCCTCTTGAAGATGATCACTTGGTGATCGAAACACGTGTTGAGGAGATGTTAAAATAACGGTTTGGTGTTGGAAAAAAAGTCCAAGAATTTCTCCAAAGGTCCCAAACAGTGCTTCACAAGCACCGTAAGATCGTTAACTATACCGCGACAAGCGTTTCGCTGTAAATTAGCTGTGTCAAACAAGAATGACCAATCACCATTCCTGCTTGAGAATGCAATTTTATGACGTAACACGTGTCGCGGGTTTAAACTCTTTTGTAGTAAAAATCACACAGTAAACAATATAAGCAGGTATTGATATAGATTTTCGTCAAGTATAGACCAGTAGCATTCAGTAATCAGTTAACATGACTTTTTAATAAACTCGAGCATGAGTAGAAAGAACTATCTTCCCTTTCTTGCCACTCATTCAAATATATTGGTTCCATTTTGTAATTCCCAGGTCATCATGGGCGGAGGAAGACAGTGCCTCCAATCTTCAGTAGAAGGCTCTAGTTTGAAAATAAATTTTTCAAAGATGTGTAGGTCATGCATAGAAGTTACTTTAAGATACAAACAGGAAACAAGATAGAGAAGTAGAAAGCCAAAAACGTTTATCTCCCAAAAATTGTTTCAATTTCTTTTATCAATGCCAATAATGAATATTGAGTAAAGAAGTTTTTTCTGTAATTTATTAGGGAATTTAAGCGCTCCAATGAAAAATTTCATTTGAAAAGTAAAATAATTGAGTGAACTGAATAGTTTTCGAGCTCAACATGAAGATGACAGCACTTGTAAAAAAGCTAGTGAATTTCTTTGTTCATCCGTTGACAGTTACTCACCAAAGTTTTGGTTATTTTGGACGCACAGTCATTTGAGTGAGTTGATGTGAGTGTTTTTTTGAAAATGGACAAAATCGAGTATCGAGCCGTCATTATATAGTTGTTTTTGAAAGGCAATACGCCTACGTAAATCAACGATGAGTTGGATTCTGTGTATGGGAACTCTGCAACATGATTTACCACAGTGAAATTTTGGGCAGCTGAATTTAAACGTGGCCGTAAGAGCTTTGGAGACGATGAAAGTTCGGGACCTTCAAAAACTGAAACTACCGACGAAAACATCGCCATTGGATTCACAGACATCAATGATCAAGCTACTTCTTCAAGGTATGACTGGAAACGGGCCGAAAGTAGAAGGAATAGAAATAGATGGTGAATGGTGGAAACGACAAAGAAAATGTTGCTGTTAAGGGAGTACCACTCTTCATGTAACTGTGAGGGATGCAACTACGGTTGCATCCCTCACAGCATTACTCAAGGAGAACTTTCCAGAATTAGCATGTGAATCGATGACCTTCAAGTTTCCTGATGTCTACTCATCCTTTAAAGAAAGTGATAATTCTAGAAGAAAACTTAAGAAAGGTTGTGAATCCAAACTATGGTGCACGTGTCAACCTTTTTTTAGATCGCATGGCAACGCCAAGGCAAGAGAAAGAGAGAGAATAGAAATAGAAACATTGGCCCACACTATGGATTCTGAATTTGGAGTATTTCATTTCGAAATTTAGATTTTGTTTTGAATTTCAGATTCTACGTTCTGAATTTTAAACTTTTTTATTTAGATTTCTATTTTTTATGTAGATTCAAGTTGTACTTTGACTATTCCTATGCAATGTCCTGTTGTCTACTGGAAAATAAGATATTATTCTATCTTATCTTTAAATGTTACTCTACGACTGCCGAATCAGAGTGAGAGAGATAGCAGAGGTTATGAACATTTCAAAAGAACGTGTTTGTCACGCATATTTAATCAATATTTAGGCATGAGAAAGCTGTCCGCGCGTTAGCTGCCGCGTTTGTTCATGTTGGACCAAAAACGTAATCGAATGATCATTTCCAACACTTCTGTTGGCGCAGTTTGGTGCCATAAATCCGAGTTTTGGCGCCGATTGATTACTGTAGATGAAACTTGGATACACCATCTTACGCCCGAAACAAAAATACAGTCCAAACAGTGGACTGCAAAGGGGGAACCGACTCGCAAAAAAAACTGTTTTTTCGGCTGGAAAAGTGATGGGGAGTGTTTTTTGGGATAGCCATGAAGTTGTTTTAATCCATTATCTTCAAAAAGGAAAAACCATTACAGGAATATATTATGCATCATTACTTGACAAGCTGAAGGCAGAACTTGCGGAAAACCGGCCACATTTGCAGAAAAAGAAAATCTTGTTTTTCCAAGATAACGCACCGTCTCATACTTCAGCGGTTGCCATGGCGAAATTCCAAGAATTACGCTTTAAACTGCCTGACCACCCGCCTCACTAGCCAGATCTAGCTCCGAGCGACTTTTTTTGGTTCCCTCATCCGAGTACTATTTGGACGGGTTACAGAGATGGGAGCATCGCTGGGAGAAGTGTGAAGAGTTTAAACAAGAAAAATGGAAAAAAAAATTCATATCTTGTATATTTGTTAGGTCAGAAACTTTTTGGACCACCCTCGTATACAAAAATATTTCAACGCTGCGCTTTTGGAATATCTCAGTGAATTTCAGTTGAAGTAACATTGAAAAAGGTGTAATTCTAAAATTCCGAAAGGCGTGGAGCTTGAAAACGGTCTACCCTAACTTTCAAACAAATCATTAGACTTTCTTGCAGGTGGAAGGCGGCATGATTGACCAGGCCCACCACAGAGGTCACGCTAGGAAAGCTTTAGACGAGACGATCGCGTTCAGTGACGCAATCGAACAAGCTCTGAACTTAAGTGATCCAGCAGAAACATTGATCATTGTCACGAGTGATCACTCCCATTCGGTGGTGCTCGCCGGATATCCAGATCGAGGCACCGGCGTATTGGGTGAGATATTCAATTAACCTTGTGTTTGTCATTAGCTTTGGGGATAATGCCTGCGGGTGGGTGATAGACATCCCCCGCTCCATAAACTAATTCCTGTGTTTCCCTGATCTACATATATCAATTATGGCGAATGTTCCTGCCTCCTGGATTCAAGTGATATGAGAAGTCTTTTATTCCAGCTCAAACACCATCGGCAATGGATAGAGTCCCTTACACATCGCTACTGTACGGAACGGGAGGGCCCAACAACTACCAGTTTCACGTGGAAAATGGCACAGTCGTCCGACCTGACCCTTCCAAAAACGACACCGAAGATTTTGAATACTCTCAACAGTCGGCGGTTCTCACCGATGAGGTAACTCATGGCGGAGCAGATGTATTGGTTTTCGCGAGAGGTAAGGGCCATCATGGTTTCAAGACCTCGTTGTGGTTGATAGTGAATATGATCGATCCAAACTTGAAATTATACAAGGGGTGCTTTTTATATTTCGGGATTAGAGAACAAAAACAAATATTAATCATCGAAAATCACTTTATCATTTTTCAAAATATTCCCAATGAAAATCTATACACTTCTGCATGCGTTTGAATCAATTGTCGAAGCACTTTTGCCACTCTGATTGAGGTATCTCCAAAAAACGCATTCTTAATGCAGCAACCGCTTCTTCAGGTGTCGAAAAACGTTGACCTCTCCGTTTGTTTTGTACGTGCGTGAACAAAAAAAAGTCATTCGGTGCCAAGTCAGGACTATACGGCGGATGACTCATCAAATCGATGTTTTGGATGCTCAAAAATGCAGTGAAGAGTGGTGAAGAGTGATCCGTCTTCGGCGTCTTGGAAGACAACTGGCGAACAAATTGTTGTGTATCACTCAGAATTGAGTGTTCTGCATTGTTCTAGTGCAGGGGTCTCCAAATAATCGCGGAATTTTTCAGGAAAAATTATGTGGATGTGGCATTCAGGCCACATGTCAGGTTATCTAATTTCCTTTTTAATGCCAAAGGTGAATTGGATAAGATGGAGAAATCTCGAGTTTATAAGCTTAAGGGTCCGAGTGTAATTGAGTTTTTTTTCCTGATTGATTCGGCCGTTACTTAATGAAGATCCATAGTAATTTCAAACACGATTTGAAAAAATCGTTATGTGTAGTTTTTGAAAGTAATTGAGTTAATCTGGGATAATGTGGCCGAAATTTCTTAAAACGGTATGCTGAACATGAAAGATCCTCAGACTAGGTAAAAATTATTCGCATTTCTTGAAATGCAATCACAAGTTCCCGAATCTAACCGACACGGAAATTCTGCAGTATGCAGGCAAGGGTTGGAAACTCAATTATTTGGAGTCCTTGGAGAATCATAAACATAAACGTTGTGTATGTAACCTACTAAATGACCAAATTGACCTGTTACTCGCCGGTTCTCAGATTAGCGTTGTCACAGATAAACGAAATCCAGCTGATAAAGTCATTAAGGACCGTCTATTATTACCGACAATGGTTGTATAGGTATATGTATAAGGATGTACATTGTCATTTATTTCAGTTTGTTGTATTCGTTTAAAAATGTCCTTGTAGGACGAAACTGCAGTAACGTCAGTTACAAATACAAGTGGTATAAAAACATAGCATTATTGCTTAGAAAGCTTGAATAACTGGTTGGTGATTGAAAAAAAATGCTGGTTTTTGAACGCTGTAGTGTACTTGCAATTGTGGGCTGAAACGACGTTGCATCCTTACATATCCATTTAAAGAAGCTGAAGGACAGCCCATATTTTAGGGAAGAATCTGAAATATGCATTTATTTGAAAAAGTAGTTTTGGGGAAGTAGTTGTTTAACGGTAGTCATTTATCAAAACCAACTGTGTAGGTAGTTGAAAGAAATCAATGTTTCGAAATTTT